CTCTGTGGCCATTGCTGATCACGAAGCTTAGCAATCTGGCTTCCTCTCAAAGCTGTGCAGACGGGAACCTCCCCCTTACCTGCTTTGACCCCAGCGTCTGGTCCTGAGGCCAGGGCTGAACACACTGCGTGTACAAGGCAAACCCAGTATCCGGGCGTTGAGTGGGTGTTTCACGACAGTCAGTGTCTTGGTCCGCAATGGTTTACGTGGGTTTGCCCACCACTGAGCATCCCAGGACCTCATCAGAGCCTTTGCAGAAGTGCTGGTGAATCCGACCCGCCCCAGCCCACCACCCCTGTCCCAGCATTTGCAGCCAGGCGGCACCTCTGTCTGAGCTCTCCCTTGCCCACGTCAGGCTGTTCCTTCCTTGGCCCCGTTGAGGCTCCTTCCCTTGATGTTCTGGCCCAGCCCGGAAATGAGGTCAAGTTTCTGCTATTTATGTGTCTGCATGTGCATGTGTGTGCATGTGTGTGGACCTTGACCTCCAGGCAGCCCTCAGGGTACTTCTTGGCTCTGTGTGCGTGCACTAAGAAAAACGACGCGAAGGAAACACGCCCAGATGCTGCCTGGGGAGTCTGGGTAGCTCTGAGCCTGGCCTGTACTACTCCGGGTCTCTGAGGTTGCTTTCTGTTTCAGCGGCTGGTGGAGATCCTCCGGGCTGCTGGGCAGTGGAGCCGTGGCCCCTCCTCACCAGTCCCACGCCGGGGCTGTTGCTCCTCGTCTTTTCCACTCGACTCCTGGCATTCGAGTTCTTGTGTTAAAAATGCTCCTGGGACGTCATCCTTGCGACAGCTCGCTTCAGTGGCAAGCCTGTGGCTTGTGGGTGGCAGTGGGTGGCTCTCTGCCCCTCGGGGAGGTGTGGCGCGTTGCTCTTACAGTACAAAAGTGTCTGCTTCCTTCCACGCACACTCCCTTTCTGACACAGCAGGCCCCAAACCAGCCTGGCCTGCCAGCTCGTGCATAGGTATTGGCACTGTAAATAAAACCCCGGGTGTGGCCTCGGGCACCCAGGGAGCAGGCCTCAGGAATGACTGCTGTGGAATCTCTGCTGTCCGAGGCCTCCAAATTCGGCCTCAAACAGTCTCACAGCAGCATCCAAGATCAACAGCGGACGCAGGTGAGTGCCACACGAGTGTGCACGGCTCTTTCAATAGGTGTCAGAAGGCAGCTGTGACGCAGACTGTCAGCTCTGGAGCCAGACTGCGGGGGCTGCATCCTCATTGCCACCGGCGGGCTGTGTGGCCTTGAGCAAACGACTGACCCCCCCGCGCCTTCTTCCCCTACTCTGAGACCTGGGACAGTGCCTGGTACACAGCTGGCGCTCAGTGTGCACAGCGGGTGTCAGCACCCCACCACCCAGCGGGATTCTTTACAGCAGCTGCCTGCATTCGTCCCAAGGAGCCTGGGGCTGGGGCATCCATTCACTGAGAGGTGAGACCTCCGATTCCACATAGGAGCTGTGTGGGGACCGCGCTTCGGTGGAGGACGTGGGGAGAGGAGCCAGAGCCCAGCTTTGGGGGCTCAATTCTGAGATCCGTGTGGCCTTGGGGAAGGGGTGCTGGTGCTGCCAGATCTCTCCAGATGTAAAACAAGCCTTGCCTCCACCTGGGGGAGATCCCACGGCCTGCTCGTGGCCTGACCATGCTGGGCCCGTTTATCTGCCCTCACAGATGAAGTCACCCCTTTATTTAAAAACCAAAACAAAAAACAAAAAAAGTCAGCAATTTGTCATCCCCAAATGCTGCAGTGTCTGTCAGCGTAGGCCTGTCCCAGGGCTGGTTCTCACTGATACCCCTGTGTCCCCTTCCACCCCCACAGTGGATCAGCGGCTGTGCCTCTGCTCCCACTCGCCACGCTCACCTTACAGTTTGTGTCTGTTAAGCTCTAACTCTGCCTCAACCCCAAGGTCATCTCTCTGGGCCCTCCCTAGGTCTCTGTCATCTCCCAAATTTGGGGGCACATGTGGCACCTGTTTGCCTCCGTGGGGGCTGCTACAAGAAATGACCACACACCAAGAGGCTGAAAACATAGAATTTTATTCCCCCAGCTCCAGAGGCCAGGAACCCAAAATCCACACGGGCTGTGCTCCCCCTGGGGCTCTGAGGAGGGTCCTTCCTGCCCCGATGGCTCCCGGGGCTCCAGGTGGTCCTGGGAGTGCCATGCCTGTCTCTGTCTCTTCTGCAGGTGGCCTTCTCTGTCATCTTCTCTTCTAAATGCACCTGTCACCAGGTTTAGGGCCCACCCTGTTCCCAGGATGATCTCTTCTCAGATCACTCATCACACCTGCAAAGACGCTTTGTCCACGTAAGGTCACGCGCTCAGTCAGGTTCCAGGTGAACGTGACTGCCTGGGGAACGTGGGGGGCACTCGTCCACCCACCCCAGTCCCAGCGCAGGCCCAGCAAAGAGAATCTGTAAGGAGCTGCCAGGAGGATCCTGGGACAGCACCTAGCCCAGGTCCCCATGGGACTGCTCGCTGTCCCTGCGTCTCCATGCATCTCTGCTCATCGCCAGCTGTGGCTGGAAGGAGACCCCATGGCTGAATACTTGGGGCTTCGAACTCTGCAGAGCCCTGAGCACGGCTGAGGTGGCCCCAGCCTCAGCCTGACATCAGTGGGCAGCATTTCTCACGCTTTGTGTTTTGGAGCCTCCCGGGGTTCGATGTTTCATGGACTGAAGAAGCTTCCGGAAGCGCCAGGTCCCTGTTGAATGTGATACAATGTGGCCCAATATGGACACGCCACTGCCCACCCCACCCCAGCTCCGCAGTGAAGACAAAAGACCCAGACTGTGGACTTAGACGACAGAAACAGGCCCTGTCTTACTGCTGAGGACCGGAAATCAGGGATCATGGTATCTGCAAGGCCGGCCCTCGGAGCCTGCGGGGAAAGGAGCTGCTCCCGGCCTCCCTCCCGGGTAGGGGAGTGGTCTTCACATCCACGTGGCGTTCTCCCTCCCTGCGTGGGCGTTCACATCCCCTTTCTAATATGGACACCGGTCACATTGGATCAGGACCCACCCAATGTCTCTGTTTAACCTTAGTCGCCTCTTTAAAGGCCTGAGTTTCAAAAACTGTCACATTCGGAGGTACCGGGGGTTAGGGCTCCACGACAGCTTCTTTTGGGGGTCACAATTCAGCCATAACAGGAGGTGCCCCAGATGGCAAGCACCTTGAGGTCTGCAGGAAAGACCCTCCCAGGGTGGGGGCAGCACACGTGTTCCATATCACAGCATCCCCGGGAAGGACCCTCCCAGGGCCGGGGGCAGCACAGGTGTTCCGTATCACAGCATCCCCGGGAAGGACCCTCCCAGGGCCGGGGGCAGCACAGGTGTTCCGTATCACAGCATCCCCGGGAAGGACCCTCCCAGGGCGGGGGGCAGCACAGGTGTTCCGTATCACAGCATCCCCGGGAAGGACCCTCCCAGGGCGGGGGGCAGCACAGGTGTTCCGTATCACAGCATCCCCGGGAAGGACCATCCCAGGGCGGGGGGCAGCACAGGTGTTCCGTATCACAGCAGCCCCGGGAAGGACCCTCCCAGGGCGGGGGGCAGCACAGGTGTTCCGTATCACAGCATCCCCGGGAAGGACCCGGGGGGTGGGGGCAGCACAGGTGTTCCGTATCACAGCATCCCTGGGAAGGACCTGGGGGAGCACAGGTGTTCCGTATCACAGCAGCCCCGGGAAGGACCCTCCCAGGGCCGGGGCAGCACAGGTGTTCCGTATCACAGCATCCCCGGGAAGGACCCTCCCAGGGCCGGGGCAGCACAGGTGTTCCGTATCACAGCATCCCCGGGAAGGACCCTCCCGGGGTGGGGGCAGCGCAGGTGTTCTGTATCACAGCATCCCCGGGAAGGACCCGGGGGCAGCACAGGTGTTCCGTATCACAGCATCCCTGGGAAGGACCCTCCCAGGGTGGGGGCAGCACAGGTGTTCGGTTTACAGCAGCCCCGGGAAGGACCCTCTGAAGGTGGAGGCAGCACCGGTGTTCCACATCACAGCAGCCCTGTTTATTTGCCGGTTTATTTCTGGTGGGGAAACCCCTTAAGATGCAGAGAGGATGCAGCCACCTGGGTTTCCCAGAAGGCCTTGGGCAGTGGTGGGGACCTGTTTATCCGGGAATTGGTGTGGGGAGTAAGGAGGCGCCCTGCGGAGCCTCGGGATGGTGGGAAACGGGGCTGGTGAGGGCAACGGGGCAGGGGCAGTGCAGGGTTCAGAAGGAAGGTGGCGCGTGGGCACATTTTCCTGGTAACTGGTTCACATGGCTGCCGATTGCAGCTCCTGTTAGCCACAGGCAGCGATGCCAGCTGCCGCAGACCAAGGCCGAACCAGCACCGGCCAGAACTTGGCGGCCGGGGGCGTCTCCAGTGCTGGGGACACACGTGGCCCGGGAGGCCGTTTCCAGCTCATTCCTGCACCTCCCAAACTGCACCAAGAGGAGCTCCTTTCTCACGCCAAAGGGTACAGAAAGCTGCCAGGGCATGAATTTAAGGATGAACAAGGTCAGGCTCCAGGACCAACGTGGAGACCCCCTGTGGAATCCATCGGGGCCACTCGGCTGCAAATGGCAGGGGACGTGGCTGACACGAGAGGGGGCAGGGCGGGGTGACCTGGGACCCCAGTGTCTGACTCGGCCTCCGCGTCTCAGCTCCACTCTCCACCGTGTGGCCCCATCTCGGTGGGCCCTGCCTTCTTCACAGCCCCGACGCCACACTGCTGAAGCGGCAGCTTTTCCTTCCAACAGTTCTAGAAAGGGCAGGAACCGAGCCCCTGTGAGTAGGCCGGGCGCAGCCCCCACTTCCCGCAGCGGAACTGCGGCTGGGAGACAGTGCCTGAGTGTGGGTTTGGCCAGACGCCACCCTGGATTTGGGAGACTCTTGAGACAAGGCAGGCAGAGCTTTGAGCCACCCCCATGATGGGTGTGCTGGAATGTTCCCGCCTGGTCGTGCTGTATCCGTGGGGAGACGTGAGCTTGCTAACCAGACATTCTTCTCACAGGACGCACCAGCCCCTTGGATACCACTTGGCCACTCCCACGGAGGCCACTCACACTGTGTGGCTGAAGCCTCGAGGTCACCAGGCGGAGGCGCGGAGATGCCCCTGCACCCGCTGGGGGACAAGCCGCTCACCTTTCCCGGCCCCAATTCAGCCATGGAAAACGGGCTTGACCACGGCACGCCCCTGAGCCCCGGCTCCCTGCGCTCCGCTGCCCATAGTCCCCTGGACACCAGCAAACAGCCTCTCTGCCAGCCCTGGGCCGAGAAGCGTGGCGCCCGGGGGACCCACGAGGTGCGGTACGTCTCGGCCGGGCAGAGCGTGGCGTGCGGCTGGTGGGCCTTCGCACCCCCGTGCCTGCAGGTCCTCAATACGCCCAAGGGCATCCTGTTCTTCTTGTGCGCGGCCGCATTCCTGCAGGGGATGACCGTGAACGGCTTCATCAACACGGTCATCACCTCCCTGGAGCGTCGCTACGACCTGCACAGCTACCAGAGCGGGCTCATCGCCAGCTCCTACGACATCGCCGCCTGCCTCTGCCTCACCTTCGTGAGCTACTTCGGGGGCTCAGGGCACAAGCCACGCTGGCTGGGCTGGGGCGTGCTGGTCATGGGCACGGGGTCGCTGGTGTTCGCCCTGCCCCACTTCACAGCTGGCCGCTACGAGGTGGAGGCGGACACGGGCGTCAGGACGTGCCCTGCCAACCCCAGCGCGGCGTGTGCAGACCGCACCTCGGGCCTGTACCGCTACCAGCTGGTCTTCATGCTGGGCCAGTTCCTGCATGGCGTGGGCGCCACCCCCCTCTACACACTGGGCGTCACTTACCTGGATGAGAATGTGAAGTCCAGCTACTCGCCCGTCTACATTGGTGAGTGGGGCCGGGGAGGTTGGCACGGGGCAGGGAGGGCCGAGGGTAGTGTTGCAGGAGTGAGGGCGACCGGCGGAGCCAGCCCCACCCCCTGCCTTCGTGTTCCCCGTGCCTGCATGGCCCCGGGGCTGCTGCGAGAGGCGGTAGGGGAGGGGAGTCAGGCCGGAGGCCCAAAGCTGACATAAGGGACTCTGGTTTTCTCATGCGGACCCTGCTCAGGGCTCCAGGCCGCTGTGCCCAGGAGTCTCAGTGCAACCCCTGTGTGGTGTCCAGCCCACCTTGCCAGGAGACTCTTGAGACAAGGCAGGCAGGGCTTTGAGCCACCCCCATGACAGGTGTGCTGGAATGGGGCCCAGTCACCAGGCGCTGGGTGGCACCAGGTCCAAAGGTGGCAGACCTCATGCTCCAGCTGGGAACCTGGCACTTGCCTGGGAAGGAGTTTCATGTGGGATAAGTGACGAGGGACAGAGCCCAGAGGCCACACCCATGCCTCCCCGTAAGCACCATGTCTGCTCCGGCAGCCACACAGGGGGGTGCGGAAGAGACCGAGCAAATCCGGAGAGTCAGAACTTTGAGGGGAAAAGTAACACGAAGCAGCTCATGGCTGCTTCACAGCCGCCTGAGAGTAAATCTGTATCACAACCCTATGCCAGGCAGCTGAGCTCACTGCCCTGGGGCAGCCCTGGGCCCCTCACTGGCTGCTGGCTTCTGTTTGTTGAGACGTAGGGAAGCCCCATGGCCTGTCCAACAGGGACAATTTGACCCTGTGCATGATCCGACTGACCCCACTTCTTGGTGCCCCCTGCCTGGCTTTCCTCTCCTGGGTGGGGCATCGTAGGGATGGTCAAGGGGAGCAGCTGGCCCCAGCCGGACTCTGCAGTGACCTCAGCCTCCTCATGTCCTCTTTGAGCTCTGCTCATCCCGAGAACCAAGGCAGGCGTTGATCACCTCACTCCAGTGAGGTTCGTCCCACTACCCTGACCCTTCCAAATCCCAGCCTACGGGGGCATGAGCGTGGCTGGGTGGAGGGACTCAGGCCTCTCTGGTCCCTTTCCCCACCCTGGGTCCCTAATTCCTGCCAGGGTCGGTCTGTGCGGCTACTTAGACGTCGTGCCAAACCAGGCTTCGAGGACCTTTGCCCTATTGTAAGGGAAAGACGGCAGTGCGCTTGGCTTTGAGGAGGTTTTTTAAAGCTGACGCTGACCCACGTCAGGCCCAGTGGTGGCTGCACGGACTTGCCTAACTTGAGGCCCATGAGGGGAGTGGGCCGGAGATGCACAACGGTGGGTGCAGGGCTTCTCTCAGGCACGGAGCCCCACACGGCCCTCTGCAGCCCCAAGTTGGTGCACAGTGGCCCTGATGCCTCTGCCTCTCTTGCAGCCATCTTCTACACTGCAGCCATCCTGGGCCCCGCTGCTGGCTACCTGATTGGAGGTGCCCTGCTGAACATCTACACGGAAGTGGGCCGACGGTGAGTGGCCACGCACCCTGCTGCCTGCCGCAGGGCCACACCCACGTGCACTGCGTGCACTGGAGAGATCCACGTGTCTCTGGAAGGGGGTTCAGAGCCAGCAGGGCCCCCTCTGAGTCAGGCCGGGCATGGTGCCGGTGCTGGGCCCCCGGGCTGGAGGGAGTCAAGGCTGGCCTTGGCTCTGTTGGACTCAGGGGATCTTGGGGGCCTTGGGAGTCCGCCCCAGGGCAGGGGGCGAGGCAGACGGACGGTGCCCAAGGCCCAAGCGCTTGCGAAGTCCAGCGAGCCCTGGCCACTAGTTCCCTAATGGAACTGAGCTTCTTTTGTTTTCCTTTCTTTGTATCTTGTGTGTGTGACGCTAGTTTCTGTAAATGTAAGCGGGAGAAAGCAAGGTGGGGGTGGAGGGAGAAGCAGAGAGACAGAGGGAAAGACAGACAGGGAAAGACCAAGAGACAGACACAGAGATGGAGATGCAGAGAGAGAGAGATACAGAGAAAGAAGACAGACAGTGACAGAGACAGAGGGAGAAGGGGAGGGAGAGGAGAAAGCATGTCCTTGCTGACCTGTCAGGGCTCTATGGGTGCAGGGTCCCCCATTCGTCCTGTGCCCAGCCTGCACTTGTGAAGTTTCCAAGGTCGACTGTGACGTGGTGTGGGCACCGCTGCACCTTGGGACTCTTTCTGCAGATGGTGCCTCTCCTGGAGGTCTCTAGCACTCTGGCCTCGGGTTGATAATGTGGGGTCAATCGTGCACGTTCTAGGCAGAGCCTGGAGGTAGGTTTGGGGCTCGTGTCCTGGGTCTGGATGCTTCTCAGTCTCTCTGCCCCATCTGGCTCTGGGATCTGGGTCCACTGTGCACAAAGTGGGGACGCAGGGCGGGGTCTGGCCCTGTGTGCGGTGTCAGCGTTTCTCTGCTAGAACAAGCAGGTGCCGCCTGGCTGCAGCCTTGCAGGGTGTTGGCGCTCCCTGTGTCCTCTGTCTCTGCAGCTCTGCTCCCGGCCTTTGCTGGCCTTTTGCCCTCCCACCTCCTCCTCCTCCTCCTCCTCCTCCTCCTCACTGTGAAGACGCATCCCTGGAAGCCCAGAGCTTGGGTGGGCTTCTCCTGCTCGCACGGCCGCCTCAGCCCATGATTCTTTTCCACTCACCTTTTCATTTGAAAGCGCACTTATATGCAAATTGCCGCGTGCACAGCAGCCCCTTTGTGGGGAGCTCTCGGTGAGCTCCAGCTGAGCCCTCTGGCATCCCTGGGAACCCCATCCGTCACCCTCTGCTGTGGGGAGGGATGCCTCGGCCCGCAGTTGCCTGGAGAGCCTGCCCCTCCTAGCGCCCAACCCCACCGTGGTCTCAGGACCAGGCCACAGGTGGCATCTCCAGACCTGGAGCGTGGGCCGAGGCACGGAGCCATCCGTCTTAGACAGTGAAGCCAAGGTGGTGGTTGCTTTAGTCTGCAAGGAAGGGACAGGACCTGCGGCCAGCAGCGCCAGGGGCCTGTGTTGACCAGTGTGCAGACAGACCCCGGAGGTCTGCCCGGAGGAGGGGCCAGGCCCCCCCCAGTATGTGTGTCATGGAGGGCACAGGTGGGCTCCACGCTGACCCAGGTGCCTCTGCCTCTTCCACAGGACGGAGCTGACTACCGAGAGCCCGCTGTGGGTGGGTGCCTGGTGGGTCGGCTTCCTGGGCTCCGGGGCTGCTGCCTTCTTCACCGCCGTTCCCATTCTTGGTTACCCTCGGCAGCTGCCAGGTGGGTTCCCCGTCCCCAGCCCGGCCTTCACATCGGGGGGTTGTCCCTTAGTCTTCGCGAAGGGGGCACCCCATTTCCTCTGCTTTTCCCCGCCATGGTCAAGTCTGCGGCACACCCTCATTCTGTCTTTGATCTGCATCTTCCCATCTGGGTGGAGAGATGCCTCCTGGCTGTGGCACGAGGCAGGTTGTGTGTCCAGCCTGTCCTGTGGCCTCCCCTCTGCCCCAGCGGCTTCTCCCCTTCAAGCCACAGAACAGGCTTGTGTCCCAATCGGGGCAGGGCCTCCGTCCCTTCCTTCCGCCAGCCGCACTTGGGGCCCCAGCTCTCCCACACCTCCAGCCCGGCTTGTGGAGCACTCTCATGCGGCTTCTGTTCCAGCGCCACCTCCCTGGGGCTGCAGGGATGTCAGACGATGACGTTCCCAGACCGGGGAGGGGCAAAGGAGTGGGGGCAGAGCCTCCCTCAGAAGTCCACCTCCAGGAGCTCCCAGCCCCAGCTGACTCTGTGCCCTTCCAGGCTCCCAGCGCTATGCGGTCATGAGAGCGGCGGAAATGCACCAGTTGAAGGACGGCAGCCACGGGGAGGCGAGCAACCCAGACTTCGGGAAAACCATCAGAGACCTGCCTCTGTAAGGACTGAGGGCAGGAGGGTGCCTAGTGTCCTCAAACCCTTTAAGGGGCCCCATCTCGGGGAGTCGGTGAGACCCTTCCAGGATCATGATGGGGATGAAGCCCCAAACCTCCCTTGTGGCCCACCAACCCCTGAGACCTGGGCCAAGAGATGAAGGAGCAACAGCTAGAGCCTCCAGGGCCAGAGGCCGCAGACCCCGTCTCAGGGCTGCAGAGCCGTGGGTGAGTCCCAAAGCGGGGCCAGGGCCTCGGCCTGCACCCGGGGACCCGTCACTCACAGTGTGGAGGCTCCTGCGGGCTGTGCCTGGCTTCCAATGGCCACGGAGCAAATCCCTTCCACACCAGCAAGTCTCCCCATGGCCTGTGTGTCCCGGGGTCCCCACGGAGGCTGCATTCAACTTGAGAGCCTTCCCTCACCGTGACCCCCACGCTCCAATTCCCTTTCGTCAGGTGTCACCTGGGCCATCCCCCTCTCCCCGGGCTCTGGGCTGCTGCCCTCTCTCTCCCTCCCTCAGTTTCTGAGGACCTCCCCTCTCCACCCTGCGTGTCCTGCTCACCCTCTGGGAAGGCTGCTTGCTTTATCGTCTGCCTTGGCTGCCTTCCCTTCTTTCTGCTGAGTGTGGTCCGGCCTTGCTTTGCTGTCTTGCTGCACTGCTAGGGTGAACACGGAGTCCTGGCCTGGTGGGGTCCTACAGGGACAACGTAGGGGCCCAGGCCCTCCAGGTCTCTCCTGGGGATCATGCCTTCCCCGGGGGGCTCTCCCCAGGGGGGCTCTCCCCAGCACTGGGCACAGGTAGCCCTCAGTGTGGTCACCACCCAAGTCCTCAGCCTCTGAGGCCGTAGCACAGGGAGACTCTTGTGCCCCTTTAGCAGCAGGTCCCTGAGCTTACGAATAGCTGCGTCTCACTGGCCATAGTGGGTGGAGGATGTGGGCAGTGGGTGTGTCCCTGCTGCCTGTCCTCAACCAGGACAGGAGGAAGGCATCAGGGCCAACGGTGGCCCCTCTGAAAGCCCCAAGCTGTCCACAGCAGAGAGGAGCAGGGCTGGATGAAGATGGGAAGGGGGGACCTCATTAGGGCCCTGATAGACCCCCGAAGGAGCTGGGAGCTGCCTGCTAGGGAGGGTGACCCCATGGGCCGAACTGACCTGGGGCCACGTTCACCGGGAGCTGGGAACATCGTGCAGGCGCCGGCTCACCCTCTCTCCCCCACACCTGGCAGCAGAACGGCTTAGAGCTGAGGGCCAGGCGCCCTGTTCCCAGCGTGGCTGTGAGCCCCAGTGCGGACCTGGGAACCCTGGGGCACTTTTAGTTCATCGGGTGACAGAGGCTTATGTCCAGGGTTAGTTCCCTAAACCAGTTGCTGGTAAGAAATTGTGGGACATGTTTCCTTTATTTAAAGTCATGACTAATTCTGGACAAATTCAACATGAGAATATCAGCCAAGCAATCCATGATTAAGAAATGAAGTTTGCGTAGCACTTCGGAGAGTCATGGCCTCCTGATGCAGCCACGCACCCCGGAGCCTGGGCAGGTCTGGGAAAAGCCCCAGGAAGAGACTCCTCCAGGGTGTCTACCCCAGCCCTGTCCCCCCACATGCCAGGACCCCACCCAGGTGTCTACCCCAGCTCTCACTTCCATATGCCAGGACCCC